GGGGGGGAGGTGGAATTTGCAGTGTGGGACTTTGGGTTTACATAAATAAGGACTACATTTGACGAACTTAGTGTTGAAAGTCCTTTCTCCTGCCCCGAGTCTAAATTGAGTACTTTACGAAAATATCGTCTGTAGCCTAATCTTTCCCAGAGTCGCCCTAAACTAGACACTACAAAGGATGGTCCACAGGGTCCGACTCTTTCTGCGGCAGGGTCTCCTCCCAGGCGTTTCGTCGGGCGCTCTACCCTCTCTTTCGGAAGTCTCTTGCCATCTATTGTGTGTGTGTGTGTGTGTGTGTGTGTGTGTGTGTGTGTGTGTGTGTGTGTGTGTGTGTTGTGGTGTGTGTGTGTGTGTGGTGTGTTTTGTTGTGGCTGTCCAGTCACCAAGATCAAACAGAGCTCCACAGGTTTCGAGTACTTCGGGAAAAAGACAGACAAAAAAATTGAAAAAGAAGGAGATAGCTGGACTGGAATAAACCTTTTTAGTCCTCGTCTATAACCGTGTTTCTCTCCGAAACCTTAATAGTATTTTAACGTAAACAATAAAAGGTGTCTCGAATACTGGACCGAAACATCCAAAACATAAAATTTAGAATGCAGTCTAGGAAGTAGATACTTTCTCAAGACATTTCCGGGCTTCGAATCGTATCTCTTTACGACTTACAAGTAGGAGGAGTTTGTGTCGTCTGGGCGATACATGAAAGTATTGTAAATTCTTATGTGTTGTTTACAGTTCGTGCACAACTTGTACAACACACTAGCCCTTCAGGAGTCGTCTACTCAGGTCTATTGAGTATAGGTTTGTATAACACACGAAATTTACATTACCACACAAAATCGAGTTTGTATAGTTTACTTCAGTACACGGGAGGAGAGAGACACACAAAGGAGTCCGACTTCCCTCTAGTTATTACCTCACTCATGCTGCGACGATACATGCTCGCCAGAGGTCGCGGCAGGTCGTCCGTCCAGGTTAGAGACCGCGCAGCACGACCTGTCGGACGTCCAGTCGTAGTGTCGTGAGTGTCTTTGTTGGTCTGTTTTGTCTTCGTAAGTATAGATCTACAAAACCCACCTAAGATGTTTAGAAACAGTAGACCCTCTACTTAATTTGTAGAGTTTGTTTGTTGACAAGTGTGGTATATACTATGATTCCAGAGTTCTTTATTGGTTTGTTAACACATTTGTCATGTTTTAATACTACTAAAAAATTGCCCACTCGTAAAACTAAGAAGAGAACAAAATTCGTACGATAAACCCGGTTCTGTTAATAATGTTTATAATACCATAGTCAGTGAATTTCCCCCCATCCATTAAGTGAAGTCTTTGTGAACCACAATATAGCTACTTACGAGAATTGTATGGGCTATCGTTACTTTATTATAATTTACGAAACTTGTTCTATTTTGTATGTTTTTACAAGTAGACACCTTCGGCATCGCGACATTTTCGGTGCTGGTTAGTAGACTCGGGCCGGGCCGTTTTATTTACCTACCGGATGGACGGAACAGTCGGAAGTAGACCACGTGTTTGAATAGAGCGACGGAGTAACCAGTACACCACGACAAGAACACACACCCGTCCTCCCCGAGACGACTCCTTCAGCTTCACTTCTCCGTCTAAAGGTCATGAAAGTTGTAGATCGTGTGACTCGACAGAGGAGATGATCTGGGATGGAAATTAAAAGTATCATGTAAAAGTTACATGTATATTTTTTTTGCAAATACTCAGGTTGTGTGGGTCGTACGTAGTTGGTTCTAGAGGAGTTTTTTCGGAGTTTGTTTCTGTCGCTTTTTAGGTTTGGTATTATTATTTTACCTCTCTGTTTTAGTGAAGGACCCTAGACACGATAACAGAGAGAGTTGGTTAGTCCTGACGAAGGAACCCCTGTCCGCGGGGAGGAAGGACCCCATCAAAATCCATAGAGCTGTAATCCTTATGTTTCATTTAAGGAGTTTGTTTCAAACCTTTAGCATAAAACCACGCTATTAAGGAGTGGAAATTATTATGGTTAACCATATATACCAAATATAAGCCAACCTTCGGACTAATCAGTGGAGAATGTTTGCTCGCATGTTTGACCATTCCTAGTACCGTAAGCAACCTTACTCGTTGTGTTGTTTGGCACACCCATCCCGCCCACACTACACGACAGCCACAACAGCCACACACAAACCAAAAAGGTAGGTCTCACAAACGTCGGTCGGTGGCAACCGAAACTTGTAGCTTGCAGCGAATAACAAACAAACCAAGGAAACTCGGGGCCCGATAGAAAGGTCGGAGACACTCTTTACCTCTAATCTGCGTTCAGAGAAGAAAACGATAGAATGGACTCCTCACTACACACCACAAAAGTCCGTTTCCTTCCTTCGCAAGTCACCGGACTTCTTGGTCCGGAGCCTCTTGACCTCGCTGACGATTTTAGTAGTCTACTGACTTGGCCTCTCTTTCGATTAGTGTTTTTTGCGTCTCTTCGACCTGGGTCTCCACAACCACAACACTATTATGTCTACAACAAGAAACACAAACAATATAGAAATTATTAATGAGAAAGAAAAAGTATAAGTGTCTATAATATTCCGAATATGATATGTATGTTTTATAGCACGTTTTTGTATGTTTTTAATTATCTATAAGTTGTCATAAAATACTTAGGACACCACCCACCACACACAACACACAACACACACACACACACCACACACACACACACACACACACACACACAACACACACACACACACACACCCACACCCACACACACACACACACACACACACACCACACACACACACACACGCCGCGTCGACCGTCAGGGGGTCGTCTTCGGGGTTTTCGCAGACCGCCCACTATGCGCCTACAAAGGCGTCGTACATCGCGAGTCCTCACTTTTCTGCCGACCTCGCGAGGTACCTCCGGCCACGTACCCACTACCTCCCCGGGGGACCTCTTGATCGCTCGTGTTCAAGTTCCCACTGCTGGTAGTTGATGATGTGGGTACTGACTTTGTGGACACACACACACACCTCACACAACACCACATCACACACACACCCATCCACACGTCTCACACACCACATCACCCCACATCACACCACATCACCACAATGCTGCACTGCAAATGACTCGTGCGAACGTCGAAATTGTGGAGAGACGTGTTTACGAAATTAACTGGGGACTGCAGCTATATTTCTCCCCCATGTGTTTCATAGCGTTGTTAATTTACACAACAACAACCGGTGATACGTACACAATGCTATCGGTAAATCGAATTTCACAAAAGTGAGGATACCCGTCGGAGTTTTTTCACAAGAGAATTCACCGTCAGTTCGAACCCTTTTACGTGCACTAAGGTGTCGACTACAATTGACAACACACGTCTAATAAAAAAGAGAATGAATTTCCACAAAGAAAGGTGCGTCTCCTATAGCACCCGGATGAGTCCCGCTGCCATGACTGTAGCTCGCCAGTCCGCCTATTTTTCAGCGGTTTTGTTTGTTCTCTCTGAGTTTCGGAGTTCCCTCGGTCTAAGTATAGTCAGACCGAAACAATGACACGTGGACAATAAGAGAGTGGATGTGTTTGTAAACCCATAACAACCGTAACTAAAGGAGAAAACGGGGTCAATCTGACCTGTTAGGTCGTCAACAACAACAACGCGGACTATATACTCTCGAAGGTGTTCAAAACTTAAAACAACATGAAATATACTTTGACTCGGGAGTTATGTGTAAAGTTTAGTCTCATCGACAAAGACGAAAAGGGAATATTGGCATTTCTGTCGGACTCTTTACACCCCAACAATACCGATTCAAACTACGGAGGACTAATATCCGGCAGCCTAAAAAGATAAACAACTTTTCGGCGAGATCTCATGTACGTACGTCGTCATAAACTTCCCGGGAGACCAATGAGTAGAATATCGGTTTGCAGAGGTGGACACTACGGATTTTGACCAAAGGATTTGGAACGAGCAGCGAGGGAGAGACCGTTGCTACGTGCCCCGAGTGGAGGTCACAAGACGTACTCGCCTCTCGAAGTGAGACCTGCCCTTGTCTGAGGCGGTAGTGCAGTCCTCAATCACTTCCTCCTCCCGGGTCTGCTCCGTGAACACCATCACGAGTCGGCTGCGTTTGGACCTCGCTTCGCCGTAGGCCCCGGCTTCAAGCCCGAGTTTCACGGACTGAGGGCTGGGGGTCCAGTTGCGGAAGCGGTAGAAGTAGCCCAGGGGAGCTCTAGTCCGGGCTTTCACTCCTCCCCCCTTCTCCTCTCCTCCAA